AAAAAAAAAAAAAAAAAAAAAACTGGCTCCTTGGTTGCTTGCCTTCTTTGTCCCTCGAAACCTCCTCCATGTCAGCTCAGTGACCACTCACACAGCCTCGTCCTTGATCATGTCATTACCAAAAACTGAACCAGCTCCAAAATCACTAATACAGATAGGCAGTTCCTTCTCCAAGTAAAACTACCTATTCTCTAAGCTCACCTGCTTAAGAAACCCAGCATAACAAGTATGAAGCACAGTAACATGCCCCTATGCCAACTAGCTACAAAAATTACTTCATATCCTTCTTTACTCTTCAAATTCCCTTGTTCTTCTCACTAAAACTTCACTCTCAGCTAATAACCTTGTCCTTTCATACATTCCACATCTCATCTCCCCTCTCCTTCTTAAAATTTTATTCTATCACTTATACAGTCTCTCTCCCACATATTCAACCTCTTCCCTCAGCTGGCTTCCCAATAACATTAAAAAAAAATTTTTTTTTGGTATCTCAGATTTTTCAGAAATCTTCTTTAGACCTTCCCCCTGCACAGACAGACACACATATATCTGCCTCTAACTACTAACCAGTCCCCACCTTTCCTTTATTGGACTTAGGACAATTTGAATTTTTAGTATGGATGACTATCTCCCTCATGAGATTAAGCTCCATGAGGCAAGCATCTGTGTATAATTATTGCATGATAACATCTGGTACAGAGCTAATTGCCTGACAGAGCTTAATGAATATTTTTTAAATGAATGAGAACTCAAAATTATCATTCAGCATAGATTTATCATGGATTAAAGAATACTAAAATGTTAAAACTAAATTAAACTGGGACTGACTCTTGATTAAAATAATCTGCCACTCTACTTTTCAGGTAGTGTGTTTGTTTTAATAAAACCTTGACAGTTAAGCTGAACAGCATTAGCTCACCTGTGTCATTCTCTTTCCCTCCTTCCTGGGAAAGAGTGGCCCCTGAAGCTACAGAGGACATGGAATTGGCAGGCAGGTACCCAATGTCTGTTCCTTCATTTGCTAACCCACTCTGGCGTAACTTAGCAGAATCCTGAGGTTCGGGACTCACAGATGAGGGTGTAGATAAGTGCTTAGGGTGGCGCTGCTTCTGTAGTTCCATGGCTCTGCCAACTGAACAGAAAATAGTGGTTAGTAATATGTATTGCAAAATAGCTAAAAGAAGACAATATAAAAGGATCTTAAAAAATGTCTGGAACATGGCGGACCCTAGAAAAATATAAAATGAATTATTATAGAGAGCAAGGAATAGACACACAGAGGAAGAAAGGAAGGCAGGCAGGTAGGCAGGCAATGATGGAAGGAAGGACAGAGAATGGAAAGATGGAGGAAAGGAAGAAGAAAGGGACAGGAAGGTGGAGGAGGGAGATGAGGAGATGGAGGAGGAATGAAGAGAAAAGAAAGAGAGAAGGCAAAAGATGAAGGTGAGAGGAAAAAGAAAGATCATCAGCAAAGGAGATGAGGAGAGCAATGGTGGGCAGAGGGAATGCTGAGACAGAGATAGATACATTCTATCTATTTATTTGTAAGAATGAAGACGAAGCCCTTCATCTTTGTGAGCTCTTGGCAAGCCCCCATCTCACTTCACCCCTAATACTCACAACTTCATTATCACAATATGCCTCAGAGACTATCCAGGCAAACCCCTATCCTGTTCATTATGCTTGTTCACATCAGCAACCATAAGAAGCTGAAGACTCTCATTCAGGTTGTCATCATCCATACCATTGTACATCCTTACGCAGCTTTTTATATCCATAATCTAACCCCATCTTCCCTAATTCCTAAAATTCTTCTTTTGTATCCCTGGAACTCATAGTCGGCATCTGTGAAATCCTCCATATCCTCAACCTCCTCTCTGAAAACTTCCTTCATCTCCTCAATGTCCTGGCATTTGAGTGGGAATTCCTCATCGTGTATCAGTATCCCTGTATCAGACTCCACTCTCACCTGCACCGTGCCAATGTTTCACATGTGGTGCTGCCTAGATGAGAACCCCCACGTGATTTGTTACCCTTCCACAGTACCACCACCTCTATTTCTCCTGCAGCCCTCTCTAGTGGGCTCATCTCTCTCCATCGGGCCTGGGGGTGAGGGAAATCAGGAAATAAAGCACAGTGAAGAGGTGGTGAAACTGTACAAGTATGGAGAGAGCGAGCAATATACATAAAGGAAGATTAAACAAAGTGTAGAGGAGAGATCCACACACACGTTGGTATTTTTTTTTAAATTTTACAACCACAACTTGAATGCAAATAAAATCAGAATAGGTAAATAAATTATGTTATAGACATCCGACATCTGACATCTGTTCTACTGCCATTAAAGAAGATGTTTATGACAACTATGTAGAAACATGAGAGGTACTTAGTTCAGAAATAATACTGAATGGAAAAAAGACACCACTGGAAGCTCAGTGAAATCATCTCAAAAACACCTTTCTCCAGTAATTCACTCTAATAAAATGAGCCTCTGATGTAAAGACAACATGGAATGGTGGAATGCAGCATTTCAAACTTCAACGTACTTGCACTGTTGTCATGACGGCTTGGTCTCCGTGGGGGTCCCAGGATGCTGGGGAATCCTCTTCGCTTTCCTTTTTCTTCGCCCTCTCTATCTTTCTTCATACTTTGCTAGAGTTGAGGTACAATCCAAGAGATAAGAGATACATAACAGAGTAAATTTCTCTTGTTGCTTTCCAACATGGAAGTGAGATTCCAATGGTTCGTTGAAAGAAATTGGTTAAAGGTTAATAAAAGCGCACATACACAGCACTTGTTAGAGGCTGGCACACAGTATTGTGTACACTTCAAACTCAAGATGTCTTTTCAGACCCTTTAGAGCTGACAATTTGGGGAAATAAAAGGGTAGTTTTTTAACACAGTTACCAGGAGCTTGTTCTAAACAATTAACTCAACCACCTAAAAAATATTTACTAAGCTCATAATGTACGAAAGTACTATGCCAAAAGCTGGGAATACAGTCATGAAGGAGGTCCTGTCCCTCACAGAACTTTATAATTTAACAAACATTAAACAAAAACACAAATAATTACAAACTAATAGGTACCTTAAAGTATAAGGCACTAACAGAGTTGGGGACAGTACTCTGTGTAATTGCTGATTTCACTTTTTGAACTAATAATAGCTTATATGTCTAAATTCCTCATTAGATTTTGAGTGTCTTGTGGACAGAAATCATAACTTATACTTGTTAGTATGCCTAGCACTAATTTAATGATTAAGTAAACACTAAGAAGACGGAAAATACTGCAACCAAATGTAAAGAAGCACCAAGGCTTGAACGCTCTATTATTATTTTAGTCTTACCTTGATTTTTGGAAGGAATCCAATCCGACCCCGCTTGTGCTCCAAATTTCGAGGTTCTTTCACTTTCACTCCCAAATGCTTCATGTACATGAGAATAACATACTGCATTGTGGAGCTGGAGGAGAAAGGGCTAAGTAAAATAAGACTTCTGAGAAGAAAGGATTGGTGGAATAGAGACATCAAACGATTTCCAAAATGTTAAAATTCTTGAAATTAAGCAATAAATAAAGAACTATCTATTCATTGCACACAGAAAAGGATTCTACTCAGATAACAATGGAATATTAGTCAAATAAAATACAGGCCACCAGAGGGAGACCACCATCTACATTTTGCAAGTTAAAAGAAATAAATTACAATTTAGGGCTGAAAGGAGAAAACACAGCTACCTTTTTTTTTTTAATTCTAGGAGAAAAACAGTTATGTTACCTCTTATCCTCTTCTACAGCCTGAGCAGTCATCCTAAAAAATAAAATGTTTAAAAAGGAAATATGAAAGTTTAATAAAAAGAGTTGCTATTAAATTTAGATACCTGAAACAACAGAACAGAGCCAAATGCTTTGGGCCCCACCCTAAATCTCTGTCACCGAGAATGAAACACCAAAAAAACCCTAATCCTCTTTTCACCATCATGTCATCAACTGTACATATTTTATAGCAAGAAATATTTCCAAAGTCTGTGAATTGAAACCAATGAAAATATTCAACCTGTTTTTGATCACTGATTAGAAATTTTAGAGTTATTCATTTACCAACACCCAGAAAAAGAAACATGAGAACTTTACCTTAAATATCAGAAAAAAGAAAAAAAAATTCCAGTTTCTCAAGCGCTCTGACAAAATAAACAGTTCCATGTAACACAATCTGACAGCCCTTCTAAATTTGTGCAAAGGGTACTTTAAGCAGAATTAGACCTCAGTAGGGAGGGCACTTCCCCATATATTTCTATTACTTACAACACTTCTTCAATTTTGGCAACAATCTGTTCTGCACATGCCCGCTCCTTCTCCAAAGTCACCCGGTCCTTATCTCGCTCTGCATCAAGTTTAGTCAGCTCGCTTTCAGCCAAGGTTAGTCCCATACTACGTTTCTGCCTAAAAGGAATAGGAGAAATTTCCTGAGGTAGCCTAGGGAAAAATTATCTCCCCCTGGAGATGTTTCATCAGAGTCTCCATAACTTTAAGTTTCTAGGAACAGGCAAAATGTCAGTTTTCTATGTATGGGTCCATGTCACCTAGGACACCAGAGGAAAAAAAAATTCTAGAGGCAATCAATCAAAGAATATATACAAGAAACACACTTAGCATAGACACAGTACTGAGTTCAAATCCTAAAACTATATGGAATGGAAACTATGGACTCTCAGTTCCACTCTAACCCTTTGACTCCAAATGTTCATTATGTTTTCATAACAGTGATAAGACCATATGGATTATCTAGCACTAAGCTAAGTATTTAAATTGTAAATTTTTCCTATCTAAAAAAAATGAATTCAGAATGACTGTATCAGGTTTTATCTACCACTAAGCTTACCGAAAATCTTCCAAGTGCTTCTGAACTTCTGGGTGAACTCTTTCTTGCATAGTTTGAATATAGTGGCGATGTAGATCCTCAGGAATAAGCTCAGGTCGTCTTTTTTCTGCATAAAGAAAAGGAAAGGAATTGTCTGATCTGATCTAAAGGTATGTACTGTGGAACATATAACTGGGAACACAACAATGCTACTTGGCACAAATTTTAAGTTGGAGTATGCCAAAGAGAAGTACTTTAGTACATTTCATGTATTTTATCTCAAACTTCAGATCTCATTTACTCTTAAATGTGTTAAGGACTCTCCTGTTGCGATTCAGGTGATCACCTAGTTGCCATGTGACAGATAAAACATTTAGAGATGAGCTGAGCTATGGATCTATAGAGATGCAATTCTCCAGGATATTGGTACTCCAAACTTACCTAGATCCACAGATATTTCATCAGGAACAGAAACTTTCAGGTGCTGAAAGAAAATGCAAACGAAAGGTGAAATGGCACCAAAGGTGTTTCAAGATGTATTTAAGTACTCATGTAAAGTAAAAGCATACAACTTGGATACCTATTCTTATAAGCATATTCACCTAGAAGTTATTCATTCAAATTTCATAGTTCTAGAATATTCTACCATTTAAACTTAAAAATAACCCCTTTTCCCAAGGATCATGCTAAAAAGGAAATATCTACAGTCATTACACCAGATGACTGAATGCTTCTGTGTCACACTTATTCCTAATGAACATATTGGTTTTGGCTTTCTAGAATCTTTGGTTAACATAATCAGTTACAAATCATTTAAATAAATGTTAAGTAAAACCTAAACTATGTGTATATTACCATATGAAAAATTGACTCACATATAATTTTTATTTCCTGTGTTTGAGATACTCATATATAACCATGGTTTTTACTCCCTGTATTTGAGATGCAGACCATATTCCCAATCATTTTCCTACGTAAAGTTAAAGAATCCTCACAATTGCCACACTCCCAATGAGAAAGTATTAGATGTCAATATTGAGTTTTTGAGTCTTAAATTTCCAGTAACCATTTATAGTTCTTGCTATTGAACTAACTAAGGTGATTGTCTTAGAATTTACTTCTTTCTAGCTAGGGGTTTCCCCACAATAATTGCATAATAATTACCAGATTGTTTTTCTCCCCATTAGTTTGGGGAAAACGTTTTATTATTTTGGATCTAGAAGAAATATCTTAACCTCTTCATGCTTATTTTTTATTGTATATCTATTTAAGTCATATCATTCCAAAATTTAAACAAATCCTATAAGATTTAAAGTTTTAAATTTGAAAATAAGTCACTGCTCAAAATTATGAGGCCTTTTATATTCATTTGAAGAACAGTGAAAAAGATTTCAAAACTTTGTCTTTAACTGAAGTTGTGAAGCAGTAGCTCAAATCAATTTTCTTAAAAGCATTTCTAGCCCAAGTGCAAAGAAGTATATAAAAGCTCATTTGTGTGTATAGGTATTTATATGAAATAAACATGACCTGTATCATAAAAATATAATTAGCAAATTAATCAATCATCATTCTTCTTACACTTTAATGATGACATACTTATATAGAACATAAGCAGCAAATATGACTTAGTTTGGAGCTCTCTTAAGAAATGTGAAATTCAAACATACTTAAATGTACTGTCACTTCTTCATGAAAGTAAATTATTTTAATAAAAATGAAGTATAATATTTTAAACAATGGCAGAATAATCAGAACTCTAATCCATTTAACAAACAGCTGAGTGATCACTATGTACCAGCAACTGTTCAGTGTTGGCGACACAGCAGTGAACAAACAGAACAAAAATATTTGTCCTAACGGAGCTTACATTCAGGGTAGAAGAGCAGAAATACAGTTATCCGTTGGTGTCCACAGGGTATTGGTTCCAGGTACAGAATCAGTGGATGCTCAAGTCCCTTATATAAAATGGCTTAGTATTTGCATATAGCCTATGCACATCCTCCGGTATACTTTATCTCTAGATGATTTATAATATTTACTATAATGTAAATGCTATGTAAATAGCTGTTATAGTATACTTTATCTCTAGATGATTTATAATATTTACTATAATGTAAATGCTATGTAAACAGCTGTTACAGTGTATTGTTTTTACTTGAATTTTTTAAAACTTTTTTTCCTTGAATATTTTCAATCCACAACTGGTAAAACCTGCAGATAATAGAGGGCCAACTGTATAAACAAACTATCTAAATAAATAAAATATAAGTTCTACGGATAAAAATAACATAATAAGAAGTGACAGAAAGTAAAAGGGGTGAAATTTTAAGTAGGTTCATCAGGGAAGGTTTCACCAAGAAGGTAATTGTATTTAGCAAAGTGAAAGTGTGTTGGAAACCTTGTAAAGGAATACAAAGGATATGGGACAGGAGCTAGAGGGAGAAGTAGAGCCAAAATGTTTGTTTATTTGTTTGTTTTAAGATAGGGAAAATAACAATGTTTGCATGCTAATGTGAGTTGCTCACTTTTAGAAAACAAACAAAAAAAACTGATGATGCAGGAGAGAGGGGGGATAATTGCTAGAGTAAGGTCTTTGAGTAAGTGTAACATAAGGAAATACACTCTAGATAGACAGGGACGGCGCCGGCCTCAGATGAAAGATAGACAGTCCCTCCACAGCATTAGGAGAAAGGGCAAAGATATGGTATGATGAAGGTAGGTGATACATCTGGTAGAAGTTCTCTTCTGTATACTTTACATTTGTCAGAGAAACAGGAAGGTCAAGGTTATCAGCTGAGAAAAGGGCAAGAGAAGAAGTGATGGAAGTTTTAGGAGAGAGAAGCTATGACACAGTTAAGAGAACTGCAAATCTGAAAGGACTAGGGATGTGCAGCATGATTATCCAGGATGCATTATGAGCTTGCTGCTATTCACCCATAACAAGGCTAAAAATAAAACTTACTAGTTTAAAAACCTTATTAACATTTCTACTGGTAAAATAAAACACTATTATCATTTATTTTAGTGTGAGTGAGATCTTTTCTACCACTTTTTAGTTAAACTTCTGTCTCCACACTTCAAAGAGGCCACCCAGAGTTCAATTATGCAAGTATTATCCCTTGGGTTCTAATATATGTATCATATGTGTTCCCTTTTCATTCCCTCATTCTAATTATGCACATGTAAAAACCCAAATACACATATATCCCCTAAAACTTACTGTGAGAATTGATATGCCTAAAACTAATTTAGAAATGATGGGGAAAAAAAAAAAATCAAGAGTAACCAGGCCTGTATGGTGGCTGACGCCTGTAATCCTAGCACTTTGGGAGGCAGAGGTGGGAGGATCACTTGAGGCCAGGAGTTTGAGACCAGTCTGAGCAAAAGCAAGACCCCTGTCTCTACAGAAAATAGTAAAATTAGCCAGGTACGCTGCCACTACTACAGAGGATGAGGCAGGAGGATCACTTGAGCCCAGGAGTTTGAGGTTGCAGTGAGCTATGATGAGGCCACTGCACTCCAGCCTGGGCAACACAGTGAGACCCTGTCTCAAAAAAAAAAAAAAATTAAAAAATAAAAAAAAGAGTAACTAATAACTAAGATATAATACAGATGTCAGAAAGCACAACAAAATCTAAAAACACGGGAAGGAAGATTGGAAACCAGAGGCCAATAATTCGATGTACTTCAGCAAAGATTATAACATTAACTTGGAAACTTACTGCAGATCGATCCAGGAAGAACTGATGAAACTCAAGGAAGATGCGACGCGTTTCCTTAGAATTGGTCTGTTTATACAGGTCTGAATAGAGATAACAGAGCTGAAATGGAGAAAGGAATGAAAAACACAAAGTGAGAAATCATGAAAAATGTAATTTTCTAGATCCTAATTGTGTAGGAATGTTTGCAACAGGCAGGTCACCAAAAATAATGTAGGTATTACCATGTAACCAAGTCTTAAAAAAAATCAATAACATCTATCCTTATATGTTTGTGAAACTGGAAGAAGTCTGTCCACTCATTTTGTAGATATAAAAAGTTCTATGGTATATGAATCAATAGAATAACTTTGAATCAGCTAAACTGCAAAATATATTACCAATGTTGCAGGGTCAAACTGTGAAACTACGTGGTGTAAGAAAACAGCCAAGTGAGCCGGACGAGATTTTAGCAGTTCAATGCTCTGGAAACAGCTGCACTGCCCATTGATCTAGAGGAAGAAATAACTATACGTCAGCAACTCCAATATACAAATACAAAATGCAATGTAGGCTCAATTGCACATAGCTATCCAAATTTCACTTTGACCTCCCTATAAAAAAATTCAAAATTTAAAAAAATGTCACTAAAATTTACTGGCAACACAGGCTATATATAGAATCTCTTCCTCTGAAAATTAATCAACTCTCAGGGACAGGTTAGAAGAAAAGTCCATTTTGGGAGAATGAAAATTTAGGAGATGATTATTAAGGACGTCAGATGTCTACAAATCAGTATATGAAATATAGTCTAACACGTTTCTAAAAATATAATGGAAGGCTTTTTGCCCAATAACAAAACAGGTATTTCTCCTTTTCTTTTGGGCTATCACAGAAATGGTGGTGGGAAATCGAGTTGTATGATTTTAAGACAACTCCTAGAATATTTGTATAATCCCTACATACACTAAACATAAAAAACAATAATAGTTAAGGTAAACTAGCATCACAATTTCCATATAATTTTTCACATTTAAAAAAATCAGAAGTCAATCTAAAAAATAATACCAATTCTACACAATGTCTTCCAGAAAATATTAATAGAAGACCACTTCCTACCTAAAGGCTAGCATTACCCAACTATCAAAACCAAAGATATTACAATAAGAAAAACTATACACCAATACCCCTCATGAACATAGATGTAAAAATCTTCTGCAAAATAATAGCAAACTGAATCCAACAGTGTATTAATACAAAAAGGATAATACATCATGACCAAGTGGGGTTCATTCAGAAATGCAAGGCTACTTCAACATTCTAATATCACTGTAATTTACCACATTAGGAGACTATATCAGAAAAAACATATGATCACCTCAACCATTCAACAAAATTCAACATCTAGTCGTGACAAAAACTCTCAGCAAATTAGGAATATTCATTAACCTAACAACCCTCCACCTAACAAACAGCATCTACAAAAATGCCTATAGTTGATGTCACACTTTTTTTTTTTTTAAAGAGACAGGGTCCCATTCTGTCACCTAGGCTAAAGTACAGTGGTATGATCGCAGCTCACTGCAACCTCAAACTCCTAGGCTTGAGCGATCCTGCACCTCAGCCTCCCAAGTAACTGGGACTACAGGTGCACACCACCATGCCTGGTTAATTTTTTAATTTTTTGTAGAGAGGGGGTCTTGCCATGTTGCCAAGGCTGGTTAGTAACATCATACTTAATGATGAGAGACTGAATCTTTCTCCCTAATATCAGGAATAAGGCAAGGATTACTTTATCACTCTGATTCAACCTCATACTATTATAGAAGTCCTAGCCAGTGCAATAAAGGCAAGAACAAGAAATAAAAGATAAAAAGATAGGAAATAAAAATTATCTCTCTTTAGAGACAACACATATATCTATGTAGAAAATCCCAAAAGACTTATGTTAAAAGCTCCTGGAAATAAGAAAGGAATTTAGGAAGATCACAGGATACAAGGACAAAAATCATGCCAATCGTATTCCTATGTACCATCAATGAACAATGGGGATTGAAGTTTTTTTCTTAAATAACATTTTCAGTAATATTCCCAACCTCAATGAAATGAAGTACTTAAATGTAAATCAATGACCTCTTACTGGCTTTAAAAGCAAAGTCATTTCTATTGGTCAAAGTTAAAATAAGTAATTAACCCAGAGGCTTTTGGCTCTAAGATTTAGTTTCAAATCCTTATAAATGTTATTTTAATCTCCAGAAAATTTTCATTTTTACAACAAATCAGACATCTTAGAAAACTAATCATTTATTTTTTTTAGAAAAAAAATGTCATTACCTGTTCATGTTCAGTACCAAAATCATCATCCTCTGCTCCAATAATATGAGGTGCTATACGGGTTGAGGGACTTCCAACAAGTGATTGAGTGTCCTGCTAACATTCAGAAAAAAAAAAAAAAACAGAAAAATTAACTGGTGGTCAAATTCAGAGAAAGAATAAAGCCAAACCATCAAAAAGACATGGTTCACCTAACTGGTGGGATTTTTAAAAATTTTCTTTGAAGTACTTTATTTTCAAAGCAGTGGTCCTCAAATTTTTTTTTTTGTTTTTTGAGACAGAGTCTCACTCTTTTCCCCGGGCTAGAGTGAGTGCCGTGGCATCAGCCTAGCTCACAGCAACCTCAAACTCCTGGGCTCAAGTGATCCTCCTGCCTCAGCCTCCCGAGTAGCTGGGATTACAGGGATGCGCCACCATGCCTGGCTAATTTTTTTTCTATACATTTTTAGTTGTCTGATTAATTTCTTTCTATTTTTTTAGTAGAGACGGGGTCTCGCTCTTGCTCAGGCTGGTTTCGAACTCCTGAGCTCAAACAATCCGCCCGCCTCAGCCTCCCAGAGTGCTAGGATTACAGACGTGAGCCACCGCACCTGGCCGAGTGGTCCTCAAATTTTTAAGGCCATGAACCACTTCAGCAGAGAATGACCACAACAATAATGATGTTTCTCTGGGGGGAAAAATATTTCCCCTGGAAGTAGTAAATACCTTTAGCTATTTATTACACACTTGGTTATCTGATTCTAATCACTTTCTTTTTTATTTTATTTAATTTTTTTAAAGGCTGGTCAAGTGAAGCAGTGGGAGTGGAGAAGGAACAAAGGACTCTGTAACTAGTTGTGATACTAATCACTTTCTGTACACGTCATTTATTAATCCATACATATCTAGGCCTTGTGACAGAAAGAATTAAAATTGGCTTACTTAATAGTTACAACAAAAAACTTAAATTTACAAAAGTGAATGAAGACAACAGGACAAAGGAAAAATGAGAGCAGAAATGATAAGGCAAAGTTAGCAGAGAGGTTAATACACCTGAGAGGTACTAACCAAAGACTTCTATCAATGATACATAATTGAAAGTTGTCAGTGCATCCTATTTTTTCACTTTTAATTCATTTTCGTAAGTGTATAATGCAGGGTGTCTGAACTACGGCACTGTTGACGTTTTAAGCCAGATAATTCTTTGTTGAGGAGCTGCCCCACGCATTACAAGATGTTTAGCAGCACTCCCTGACCTCCACCTACCCACTAAATGCCAGTAGCAGCCTCCCAGTCATGACAATCGAAGTGTTTCCATATATTGTCAAATGTCCCCTGAGCTGCAAAATCACTTCTGGTTGCAAATCACTGGCATAATGCAATACATTTTTCAAGTAATCTCACAAACACTGCTATAGAAACAAAGATACCAAAACTGTAAAAGTAAACTGTAGGTTGGCAGATTACACTCCATGCAACAAGTGATCCATTTGTCAACTCACAAAGTTGGATCCAGCATAAAAAAGGTAGCATAAAAGTATAAATGTGCAATGTAATAAATATGGGATGTGTGAAGACCATAAATAGTAAAATTGAGGACCATATAGGATTAAGAGAAATAAAAATTTTAGAAAAAAATTTAAAAAGAATGAGTTTGTCTTAAATCTGACAGCAGTTGAACATGAACGTTCCAGATCTGCAAAGAAGGGTCAGGCTATAATGGTTTAGGAGTCACCTGCATAGTATCTATACTTGGAGCTATATAAATGGATCCACAAGTTATAGATTGAGTGAATAATATGTATTGGTAGTTTTTCCTCCTTAAGTGTACTGCAACACTATGTACTGCATCTCCTAAACATGATTCTGCGTTTTTTTTTACTACTCTCTTTAATCTCAAGGCCTTGATAATTTAAAAAAAAAAATCAGGTGAAATAAGTAAAATTTGTTTACAGCATTAGTCACATAATTTTTATTTGTTTATTTATACATTTTTTTGAGACAGGGTCTTACTCTGTTGCCCAGGCTAGAGTACAGTGGTATTATCATAACTCATTGCAACTTCAAATTCCTGGGCTCTAGTGATCCTCGCACCTCCCACGTAGCTGGGACTACAGGCACACGTCACCATGCCCAGCTCATTTTTTTCTATTTTCTTTTATAGAGATGGGGTCTTGCTATGTTTTCCAGGCTAGTCTCGAACCCCTGGCCTCAGGGGATCCTCCCACCTTAGCCTCCCAAACTGCTAGGATTACAGGCATGAGCCACTGTGCCCAGCCAATTTTTCATTTTATAATTGATTTCATTTCTTTGATTTTTTAAAAGTCCTTATGTTGCTAATAATAAATACATCACAAAATGCTGTTAAATCTTTTACTATAAAACTTTAAACAAGTCTAATTAAATAAATCAGAAATGCTGAAAGTATTCAATTAAGAATATGTAAGATCTAGCAATCCTACTTCTAGGCATACACCTAAAAGTCCTGAAAGAAGGGCAGCATAATCACAGTAGCCAAAAGGTGGAAGCAACCCAAGCATCCACTGACAGATGAATGGATAAACAAAAAGTGGTACATACATATCATGGACTATTAGCCTTAAAAAGGAAGGAAATTGTGACATATGCCATGACACGGATGAACCTTGAAGACATTATGCTAAGTGAAGTAAGCTAGTCACAAAAAGACAAATATTATATCATTCCTTTTACATGAGTACCTAAAGTAGTCAAATCTATAGAGACAGAAAGTACAATGGTGGTTGCCAGGGACTTGGGGAAGGAAGGTATGTGGACTTAGTGTTTAACAGGTACTAAGTATCAGCTGGGGAAGATGAAAAAGTTCTGAAGATGGACGCTGGTGATGGCTGCACAACAAGTGAATATACTTAATATAACTGTACACTTAAAAATGGTTAGAGTAAATTTTGTGTATATTTTATCACAACAAAAATATAATACTAAGCAACCTCATAACACTAACCACGGAATACCTCTCCATTTATTCGAATCTTAAGTCCCTTAAATTAATTTATTTATCAAAAAAATAGAATATGCAAACATCAAATGTATTTATCATACTTTAAATATAAGGAAAACTAAAGACAGCACTATCACTGCATGGATTTCATACTCACAGTGTCCTGAATTGTTTCACTTTTCTCGGGGTTTTCATCTAGAGAAATCCTCTCTTTCGGGCCACTCTTGGGACTCTAATGAAAAAAAAGATCTTCAGTTCACTTCAATAGGCACACCAAATGGAGATAATGAAAAATAGTGTAAAAAAATATTGTTATGGATTTCATATTTATATTTAAAACTAACATATATCTTTCATATACCCAGCTCTGCTACTGACTTTTTTCCCCCCTGACTATGGCAAGTCACTTATTCTTTCAGCTTTTCAGTTTTATGCTGATAAACAATACAGAACCAACAGAACAGTTTTACCCAATTTCCAGGCCTGGGGGATTACTTTTTTGCCAAATAACTCTAACCAGATATATTACATATCTCAAACTCATTACATAAAAATCAAATTCTACCTTTGTCTATCTTCCCTAACTCCCACCTTCCCAAACTGTCCTTTCTTTCCAAGGAAAAAAGCATTTTGTCCTATTTATATAAATAAAATTAAGCTTCTATTTTTCTGTTACTCCCTTGTGTGCAAGGTGCTATGGATTTTTATAAAATTAACATAGTATGTTTGGGATGACCTAATATAGTTCATTCCTCTGTACTCATGTTGGGATTGATTCCAATACCTCCTGTGGATACTAAAACCTGTGGATGCTCAAGTCCCTGATATAAAATGGCATAGTAGTTGTACATAACCTATTTCCTGTATACTTTAAATCATCTTCAGATTACTTATAATACCTAATACAATGTAAATGTTATGTAAATAGTTGTTAGACCATACTGTTTATGGAATAATAACAAGAAAAAAGTCTACATATATTCAGCACAGATGCAATTTTTTTCCAAATATTTTTGATTCTGGTTGGCTGAATCCACAGATTCGGTCACGAATATAGAGAGCCAACTGCATAAAATACGAACTATATGACATGCAGAAAGTTCACTTTTGGGGGTTGACGAACACCCCAAAGCAATGAGAGCCACTATTCAGAGCAATTGAAAATGAGGAACAAGACACTTGCGTATAAATGCCAACAGGAAAGATACATGTTATCTATACATATACCAATATATGACAGGATAGAAAAAAAAGGTCGTTTCAATATATGCCCCACCTTGTAGAAATGGATGACTCTTGGTTTTGGACAAGAGATAAGAAAGATAAGATTAGAATAATCCTGTCACAAAAAGCAAGGAAGCTATCAAAGACACCTGAAAGTCAAGTCAAAAAGAATAGGAGACAACTTGAGGGGGCTCCCATCAACCAGAAAATAGTAGCTCATGTTAGAATCTATGAGTTCAAAATATTACGCACACACACCCCCGCCCCACATACACTAGTCACCTCTGTAGTTTGTTAGCATATCAGCTCTCCCAAAAAGAACCAAGGAGAAGGTTTTTTTTTCAATTTTTTTAAGAAGCAGGGTCTTGTGCTCTATCATCCAGGCTGGAATGCAGGGGGGCGATCATAGCTCACTGCAGCCTCGAACTTCTGGGCTCAAGCAATCTGCCACCTCAGCCTCCCAAGTAGCTGGGACTACAGGTATGTGCCATCACACCCAGCTAATTTTTAAATTTTTTTGTAGAGACAATGGTCTTGCCCAGGCTGGTCTCAAATTCCTAAGCTCAAGTGATCCTCCTGCTTTGGCCTCCCAAAGTGTGGGGATTACAGTCCTGAGCAGCTGCACCTGCCCCAAAAGATTCTTTAAAAAAAAAAAAAAAAATCACGGGCAAGTATTTATCCTGTATTTCCTATATAAGCTATATTTTAGGGTAACCTAATAGTAAGGAAAAATTCTTTATAAAATAATTCCACCTAATAAATACAGAAAAATGACTAAATTATAATGTCACCCTTTTGAACCCCTAATTAAATGAAGCATTTTGGTCATAAATGGCATGTAAAAACATTACAGAAAAGCTTGATGGGAAACTTTATAATGAAGGAATCGTGTTGACATCACCCAACACCCTAAATAAACTTATAGCCACAATAAGTCAACCAAAAATTCACATCCTGATGTGATATAATGGGGTGTACACAGTACCACCCATAAACTGTTCCTGCCAAACAACTATCAAATTGTAATTTTGTCAAGATTCTAGATGTACCAGTTTTCAGGAAATAGAGATAGAAGAACGTGTTACACAACATCATGAAAATACAATTAGAAAATGGGCTATTTTACTGGACACATGAACAAATTTATTTGGCAAAAAAATGGCAAAAGAAAAAGAGGGGGGAACTATTATAATTTACAGAGACTTAAAATGACCTATCAACCAAAGGCCATATAAAGGCCTTAACTGGATCTTGGTTCAAACAAACAAACTGTAAAAAGATCACTATAATTAATCAAATTGTATATTAAGAAAATATTAATTCTTAAAGTTTGATAAGAATTTTAGAGCTGTATTTTTAAAACATTTTATCTCTTAGAGACACATATTAATTGAAATAATGCCTTGGATTTTCTTTAAAATAATACAGTATTTGGGGGGAATGAGGACTAGGGGACACAGACAAAATAAGTTTGAGCACGTGTTGATGACTGCTGAGGCTAGGTTATCAGGGTCACGATTTTCCAAAATAATTTTTCAAAAATATCATTCACAAGCTGAAAACCAGAAAAGCAGACGCTCTAAATTTTACATGATTTGTTATCAAGTTGTTTCTCTTGTGCAAACTAGGTATGTGGACATTTTTTAAAGCCTTCTCCAAGATAAGCAAAAGCAGGGATTTTTTTTGCAATGATATCACAGATACCACCAGAAGACTATTTTATAAAAATGAGAACAAAATGAAAAAAAATCAAAAGCATGGATTCAAAAGATAAGAAGACAGGCTCCTCCAAACTTACTGCAATACACCTGAAACAAACATGGAAAAGCCATAAGCTAAAAGCAGCACATTTTTAGCCTCAGACACTTGTGGGAATTAAACCAGTTTGCTATAGCCTAGTGTGGACTTAATCATTTCTCACCTGGATTTCCATAATATTCATTTCTTTATTTGGCCTCAGTTTCCTCATCTGTAAAATGGTGATATTGCTTCATTAAGATTATTATGAGAATTAAAAAGAGTATCTGTAAACCACTAGATCTGACCTCTGGTACAAACTAGGTATTCAATAAATGGTAATTATAATATTATCCATGCAACACACATTTGTTAAGATCCTATTAAGCAAAGCCGTCTTCTCTTCTTACAGATCTCACTGTCTCTTTGCTTCATTTTCCACACTGACATGTTTCTGATGGTGCCTCTGTTCTGCGTGCGAAATAAAGCCCACTTTATTCATTCATTTTGTTGTTCATGCAAATTCTTATTAAATAGCAATTACATGTCAGTCTTAATTCATCGACATGCCTGTTTCCATAATTCATCAATTCACTCTTTGTCTAATAAAGTTATATTTCTAAGCCACAGATTTTATTGTAACATTCTTCTAAATACAAGATAAAATTCAAATTTCTCATTCATACCACTTGTTCTGAATGCCTACAATCTGCCACACTTTGGAAACATAAAGTCAGATAAGATAGTCTTGTGTCCTCAAAGAAATTTCTTTCTAATGGTAGAGATAAGCCAGGAAAACAGAGAGGAGAAGCAGCACTATGGCAAAAAGGAGAGTATCAGAAAAACTACCAAAAGCAGTGTATGTACTGCCGGAACAAGCCGAAGCCCTTTACAACCTGGAGTGAAGACTTTGTTTCTAAGGTAACCTCTAGCCATTTCATCCATAACCCTTGTACGCCAGGTTACCCTAAGATTTTCCCTGCTTTCCCAAAATATTACGCATTTTCACACCTTCATGCCTTTGTTTATATTTAGAGTGCTGGTAATTTGGAGCTAGGAAGAGGTAAATCACCTATAGCCTAGGTAAATTTGGCAAGTCTGTTAACTGCCAAACTGCCTTTGGCTTCAGTTTTTTTTTGTAAAGTTACAATAACAATAATACTACTTTATAAGGCTGTTTTGAGAATTGACTAAGATAAGGAATGTGAAACAGTATATGGCATGTACACCCAATAAATGTTAGCTATTATAATTTTTTTCTTGATCCCAAACTGAAATTTTCCATTAAAACCTTTAGCCAACCCAATCACAAGACTCCTATCACCATCTTTCATTTAAAAAAAAATCATCAAATTTTCCTTGCATGAGGAACTGAGTCACTGGACCTAAGTCTCAAAAGGTAGCCTGAATGATGGCCTGAATGATGGGCTTAGACTGTGGCTGTCAAATTTGTCTTTAACTACAACCTTTAATAAAAGAGAAACTTCACATTGTTAACTAGCATATATATGTGTACATGTCTATCTGACAAAATCACAAGAAGTAATGCCTCTTCTACATGCAAAGCACTCTTACTTCCTATTCTTTTTTTTAAATGTTGGTCACAACCCACTAAATTCATTTCATGATCCACAGTTACAAAAACAGTGGCTCAGATCACTTCCCTCAACATTTTTAACGAGGGTGACCTATTTTTATTACTTCAATCATTATATACTGCTTACAAAGTATTGCTAAGTAACATTGAACTCAGCTTTTACAAATTCATCTGACTATAGTGCTACACCATATTCAACTTAAAAAATATTTTATTATCATCTTCCTAACAAATACCCATATTCATCTGGTAGTTTTTAGGTTAACCAAGAAAAGTGCTGTTACTAAACCTGGGTTATTAACTGAAGTCTATCTAACAGGACTAAGGCTTTTCCTCTTTGTAATGGCAAAGTGCCCCATGATTCAAGACTGAGTCACTCTGACCACAAATGGAACATTAACATGCTCTTAAAGATATCAACAGTTGGTTTCTCCGCTCAGTAAGAAAGCACCGGCATTATGAACTTCTCTACCCACAATCAAGATGCCTGCTGGGAAATTCCATCCCTGTAAACGAAACAGTTGGCAAAGGATGTTCAAGGGAAAAAGCTCATATATGACAGCATCCAGAATTCCTGTTCATCAAATTAGTATATAAAAGAAGAAGATGATAAAAATTAAGAAATAAGACCACAGCTCTAATTCACATAACTTAAAATCAAATCCAGAAAAGGACTGTAAGGAAGAATACAAGAAGATAAAGATTTAGAACGCTTAATGCTTACATCTGCATTGTCACTATTGGGCCGAGAAGCATCTCCACTGCTACAGTCAGTTCTGCCCAGTCCATCTCCAGGATCTGCTTCTGCCTCACTGACTGTCAGGGTGTCACCTAAAGGCCTGGAGGGTATAACTAGAGCTCCATCCTAAAACAGATTAAAGAAACACATACACAAAAGAAAACTTTCATTAGTGACTACATAAAGAAATAGAGTGGCATTACGATCTACATGGACAATGCCAAAACCTGGACACTCTGATAGGATGAAGAATGCTTAAATTTCTACCAGTAAAATCCATAAATAACTACTGATACTATGATTCTAAAATGGCATGGCCTTAATGACAGGGAAAGTGACATTTTAGTAAGGAAAGTAAAAGCTAGAGCTTCCAAATACAGCAAAAAGATAAAATGATTTGTTAATTTATATGATTTATACTACTCGCCCATTAGTAAAGATTATTACACTATAACTTCTGGTTAATGGCGTTCCAATGCATCAGAGTTTCAATAAATTGCCAATTCCGGGACACAATATCGTAACATAAATTATTATAAGCTTTTACATCAGGACACACTTGTACCGTTCAAACAGGGTAGGAATGTTGTCTTTGCTCAGTAATAACATAAAACTGTCACATTACTGAGGCATAACACTTAATATGTGACAAAGCTAGTGAAACTGAAAGTAATGAAAAAATAATGTTTGATGAAAAGTACACTAAACAAGGATGGTAGAAGACCTTACATGCTGCATGGCCTTGTATAAATTATTTAACCAGTTTAGGTTTTTTCAACCATGGTTTTTAAAATTGAAAATGAGCAGATTAGGCTAGATGATCTTTCAAAGAATCCTTTCAGTTCTATGAATATATGGCTTTCGCTTCAGATCTAACTCAGGAATAGTGACAAATCAATAGCTTTTACCTACTTTAGATGCATAGGCAGTTTGTCCATTTTGGTTAAGATGAAGTAGAAAGAGCTTTACATATCCCAAATCTAAATATTATAAAATGTAAGTCTGGTTGATACACAAATGTTGAGCTATTTTTTCTAATGAGACCATTGCCTCCATAGCTTATACCTATGAAGCAAATTCTATCGAAATCTATTAAAAATTATAACAAAAATACAGTCATTAAGAGTATAAATGTGTTCTGAAATTCTCAGACTGGATTTGAATTCTATCATTTTTGGGCTACATAACCTCAGATAAATCACTTAATCTCTCTAAATTTCTCTAAAGTGTATATGTAAAATGAGGGGAAACAACAGTACCTAACCTCAGAGGGTTATTGTGTAAATTAAACAAAAAAATGCTTGTCCATATATTTAGCATAACGCCTGCATTTTAAAATCTTATATCCCTATTAAAAACATATCAACTGCCATTCTATTTTAAGTTAGCAGATTGAACCACAAAAATGTAAATATATGTATCTAAATACATTTTACTAGCTTGCCATATCAAAGCAAAAGCACTCAATTCTTTTTTATATTATTATGGAACAAAGAAACATTATAATCATGAGCAAGCAAACAATCAGACGCCCACATTTATTTCATTAAACATTACTTCTGCAGCATCCTATGCAGGACACACTGTTGTCCTACACTAGAAAAATTGATTTTAAAAAAGGCAACTGCAACATTCTCTGACACATTCCCAGAAGAATATTCTCCTGCAAAAAGTTGGGTAGCACTTTTAATAGTGATGCTACCTGAGCAGAGCCTGTGGCTTTGGATAACTGCTCTTGCAGCTGAGGAATGTGTTTCTTGGCCTCTTGGATCTCTTTTAGCAATCTTTGGGCAGGTGTTCGGTTGTAATCTTCCTGCAATAACTGAAAAGTTATAAAAATATTTTGAGAATTAATTACTTATGTCAAGAAAATATAGAAAAAGTCCATTCTTAATCAATAAAATAGCCAATGGCATTGATTACAATATTGCTTGTGATGATGATAAGCACCACTCATTTTTTTACTGGCCTGTAAATAGCCTCATATCTAATTTAGTACCTGTAGCCGTTCCTGTTCTTTCTGTAACATTTTCCTCAGAATTTCTACTTTCTGGTTATGAACCACATTGTTTTCCTCCTAGAAAAAGATACAAAAAAAAAACAAACAAACAACAACCAATACAAGGAAAGTGAAGCTAAAGTAAATAGAAAAAACAAGAAATACAATGTTGTGTCTCAGCTTCAAATACCAATACCTATTAGGATTTTCTTTGTTACTGGGTTAAGAAGACACAGGCTTTCAGACATGACAAAGATAAAAAGTTACAGGGAAATTTCTGCCCTTCTGTTTCACTTTTACTAAACCGGGTTCAAGAGAACATTAAATATTGATATTAGTTGGACAAATAAAGCTGTCACAGTATCAAAATAGTATCTTATACTTTCCTTCATTTGCATCTTTACTATCAATCCCCATGCATGCCTCAAATCCTCAGTACCTCCTAGCTGAAACATGAAGACAGCTCCCTCCTTAACTCATCTCCTACCATCTCTCGTTTCACAACCATGTAATATTTTACCAAATTAGTCTTCCTACAATCCTATTATAATCATGTCACTCTTGCTCAAAAAAAATGTTTAGGCCGGGCGCGGTGGCTCACGCCTGTAATCCTAGCTCTCTGGGAGGCCGAGGCGGGCGGATTGTTTGAGCTCAGGAGTTCGAAACCAGCCTGAGCAAGAGCGAGACCCCGTCTCTACTAAAAATAGAAAGAAATTAATCGGACAACTAAAAATATATAGAAAAAAATTAGCCGGGCATGGTGGTGCATGCCTGTAGTCCCAGCTACTCGGGAGGCTGAGGCAGAAGGATTGCTTGAGCCCAGGAGTTTGAGGTTGCTGTGAGCTAGGCTGATGCCACGGCACTCACTCTAGCCCGGGCAAAAGAGTGAGACTCTGTCTCAAAAAAAAAAAAAAAAATGTTTAATGGATTCTTCATTGCTTATCCAGTTATAGGTAAATCAGACTGGTAGTTGTGATTTTTCAAAATATATAGTCAATCTACTTTTTTAAAGCTCATCTCCCACTGCAAACATCCTTGGGGGCACCAGCCAAACAAAAATCCTAGCTACTTCCCAAAAATATTTGATGTTTTCTTGGTTCTTTATCTCTGTTTATTCTATATTGTCTACCTGGGTTAGCTTCCTCCCCCCGTCACCACAACTTAAATGTTACCTGTTTTTTTAAGGCTCAATTCAAATAAAATCTTTCCATAAAGGCTTTCCTTATCACAACTGGATGTGCTTTCTTCCTTTTTTGAGATCTCATAGAACTTAACATTTTTTCCTTCATAATGTCTACATTCTGCCTTTGTATTATACTTACTTGTATACTCTTGATTCAATTTCAAACAACAAAGGTATTAAGCACTTACTATATGCTAAGCAATATTTCAAGCTGGGGACTGGGGACTCAACAGTAAACAAAATAAACAAAAAGCCGCCCTGTCCTCCTAAAGTATACATTCTGACTAAGAACCCTGAACACAGGATTATATTTTTCAAGGTGACACATTGATTTGTGTATGATAGGTGTTTACTATTTGTCGAAATAAACCTGCTATGGCAATACTCTGCAATCATTCCCATTACATAATTTTTATATTGGGAAGTCATTTTCTAGAACACTAAAATTAAATTGTCTATCAGCCCAATACTTCAAAACTCTTAAAATAAAGCAAAGTTACCCTTATACAACTGAGCATTTACTAGGAAGTTTTCCCACTCTTACCCCCATGAGCACAGGACTAGTGATTCTCTCCATATTTCCAGATGCTCCAGGTGAATGAGGGGATGTCATGATGGGAGACATATGTCCAATGACTGATGGCTCTACTTCAGAATCGGCGAGTGGAATCTGGGGCGACCCAGGTGGGCGTCCCTGAACAGTGAGAGCTACATAGGAACCAGCTTGGAGTGCAGAGATGGAAGAAAAGGAAGGGAAGGGAAAATAACATTGTTAAGAAACATTTTATAGCATTTCATTACTTCATCTTTGAAAGTTCTAAAAGATCCAGTTATATGAGAGTTCCATCATCTGCTAATCATGTCACCAGAGAAAAATAATCCGATCTGTCATTTCTCTTTTATGGCTACCCTAAATGTAAAAAATCTAAAAGAACAATGTGATTTTCAGATAGCAAATTACTACTCATGGGATTAGATATTACTTAAAAGCATATAAAATTTATAACCCCAAGAATATATTTTCTTAATTTAGAGAAGACCATCTACCAATTAATTGCTACATTCAAATAATTTCTTAAATGTAAATTCTAAAAATCTTCATATTTTAAGACAATACTAATTAGGCAGGGTTTAATTAATATTCTAGAATGTAACAATGCAATTTTAAATTAACTTTAGAAAATGAATATGACCAAAAAATATTCCACCAAAACGGGAAAAAATAATAAATAATAAATTTTAATTTAAAAAATTTGGAGAAGTAGACAGAAATTCACTAGACATACTATAGGGGGGAAACCTAGACAGCAAAATTCATCATAATCAGAAAGACTTAACAACAGACATTCATTATCTAGCACTAAAAAGAAATGAGATGCTTCAAATAAATGACTTCTCTAGATAACTGACTTTTAAATGACAAAATTTTTTTCCTAGACATTTCGATAGAACTTTTAAACATATTTCACACTGTCTCCCAACTTAATCCTCCCATGGAACTCATTATCAATTATTTTTCAGTGTTTTGGGGTTTTAAAAGTTATTTTTGTTAAACTTAGTCACAAGTGCTATGATTTGGAGGAATTTTAAGTATAAACACTTTCTAAGGCTTTCCAGTCTTATCAGTCTGTATCAGAAAATCGTCTATTATATCTCACTTGCCCATGTGTGCTTGCCTGAATAACTTCCTAGCTCTTCTGCTCCCTTCTTTAGCTGTTTCTAAACTGCTCTGATTTAAAATACCTTTTACTGTATCTAGAGTATATGTATTAAAAAGCAGGACATGCAAGAGCGCTATACAAGTATGGTACGTAGGTTTTAGACATGTCAAATTTATATCCATTTTGGATACTCAAAGTGTTTTATGCTTAACTTTGTTTTTAGCAATGCCCTTGCTATTGGATAAGTAATCTATGCTATAATCCTAGGATTTAATTTGTTTAACAAAATTTATATTGGAATAAGCAAAAAAAAAATAACCTAGACAGCTAAAGAAATATCCTTACTTTTTATTTTTATTATTTAAAAATAATTTTTTGAGACAAAGTCTCACTCTGTCCCCCAGGCTGGAGTATAGTGGCATGATCATAGCTAACTGTACCCACAAACTTCTGAGTTCCACTGATCCTCCCACCTTGGCCTCCTGATTTGCTGAAACTACAAGGGTGTGCCACCACACCTGGCATAATATTACTTTTTATACTCTATGATAGACATCAGGCATATACTTATTAACATAAATCATATGTATAGGGCATATAAAAATTTATAAACACAATCACATTAAATAATAAGTAATCAAATTTATTCCAGTATGGGGATCTAATCACTGAATTTCTTTTAAAATATACTTAAGTTAAAAGCTGTAATCAAAGTGACCATTTAGAGCACTGGCACTCTGATTAAAAGGTAAAAAAAAAAAATTCAGAGTCGCTTAACTTAAGCAAGAAGAAGGCCAAAAAAGAATTAAGTTTATTGAATTTATTCTAAACATATCCAACCACTCAGTGAAAGACACAGAATTAAATAAAACAATAGTGATTCTATTTAGCCAGAAACAACTATCTCTTATCTGTAATCTACTTTACTGTGGAATAATCTGATGCAGAAAATCACAAATTCTTTTTTTTATTGCATTTAGTTTAAGCTACCTCATTTTTTTTTCCTTTAAGGCAGGGGTCCCCAACCTATGGTGAGTTGTATAATTATTTCATTACAATGTAATAATAATAATAGAAATAAAGTCCACAATAAATGTAATGCACTTGAAACATTCTGAAACCATCCCCCCACCCACCCCTGGTCCATGGAAAAACTGTCTTCCATGAAAACGGTCCCTGGTGCCAAAAAGGTTGGAGATCACCGTTTTAAGAGATATAATAACAAATACGTAAGGCCTAATCTGGGCCAGAACAAAGAAAAAGGAATTTACGTTTTAGATGGTGTTACTCTCATGGGACTTTTTTGGGGGGAGTGGGTCATTTCTACTTTTTTTTAAAATTTCAGAATATTACAGGGGTACAAATGTTTTGTACACATGGATTGCTTTTGTACTGCTTGAGTCAAAGTTACAAGTATGCCGATTGCCCAGATAGTGTACACTGTACCCGTTAGGTATGATTTCATCCATCCCCTTCTCCCCTCTGCCACCTGCATGATTTCCATTCAGTTTTACTTCTATCCCTGCATATCGAGTGCTGATCGGTTAGTTCCAATTTAATAGTGACTACATGTGGTGTTTGTTTTTCCATTCTTGCAATACTTCACTTAGGAAGATGGTCTCCTGTTCCATTTAGATTGTTGCAGAAGGTATTAATTCATTTTTTTATGGCTGAGTAGTACTCCATAGTACACATATACCACATTTTATTAATCCACTCATGAATTGATGGGCACCTGAGTTGATTCCACAGCTTTGCGACTGTGAATTGTGCTGCAACAAACATTCTAGTGCAGATGTCTTTTTGAAAAAATTACTTATTTTTCTTTGGGTAAATACCCAGTAGTGGGATTGATGGATCAAATGATAGGTGCACTTTTAGTTCTTTGAGGAATCTCCATATTATTTTCCATAGAGGTTGCACTAGTTTACACTCCCACCAACAGTGTATAAATGTTCCTTTCTCTCCACATCCACACCAGCACCTACTGGTTTGGGACTTTTTGATAAAAGGCATTCTCAACTGGGGTTAAGTGATAATCTCACTGTGGTTTTGATTTGCATTTCTCTGATGATTAGTAATGTTCAGCATTTTTTCATGTTTTTTGGCCATTACTCTATCTTCTGTCAAAAAGCTTCTGTTCATGTCTTTTGCCTGTTTTTTAATGAGGTTGTTTGATTTTTTTCTTGCTAATTTGCCTGAGTTCTTTGTGGATTCTGGTTATTAGCCCTTTATCGGATATATAGCATGTGAATATTTTCTCCCATTCTGTAGGTCATTTATTTGCTCTATTGATTGTTTCCTTGGCTATGCGGAAGCTTTTTAATTTAATCAAATCCCATTTATTTATTTTTGTTGTTGCTGTAATTGCCCTTAGGGTCTTTTTCATAAATTCTTTGCCTGGGCCAACATCAAGAAGAGTTTTTCCAACATTTTCTTCTAGAAGTCTTATGGTTTCATGTCTTAGATTTAAATCTGTTATCCATCTTGAATCAATTTTTGAGAGTGGTGAGAGATATGGATCCTGTTTCAATGTTCTACATGTGGCTATCCCATTTTCTCAGCACCATTAATTGGATAGGGATTCTTTTCCCCAGTGTATATTGCGTTTACTTTGTCAAACATCAAATGGCAGTATGTGGGTGGTTTTATATCTGGGTTCTCTATTCTGATCCATTGGTCTATTTCTCTATTTTTGTGCCAGTACCATGCCATTTTGGTTACTATAGTCTTATAGTATAGCTTAAAGTCTGGTAAAGTGATGCCTCCAGATATTTTCCTTTTGCTTAAGGCTGCTTTGCCTATTCAGGCTCTTTTCCGGTTCCAAACGAAGCATAGAATTCTTTTTTCTAAATTTGCAAAAAAATGTCATTGGTATTTTGATGCAGATAGCATTGAATCTGTAAACCACTTTTGGCAGTATGGATGTTTTAACAATGTTGATTTTGCCAATCAATCCGTAAGCATGACATGTTTTTCCATTTCTTTACATCATCTGCTATTTCCTTCCTCAGTGATTTGTAGTTCTCTTTGTAAAGATCTTTTATCTCCTTGGTTAAATATATTCCTAGGTATTTTCTTTTCTTTGTTGCTATTGTGAAAGACATTGTGTCAATGCATAGGAATGTATAGGAATGCTACTGATTTGTGTACACTGATTTTGTAGCCTAAGACTTTGCTGAATTTATTTATCAATCTCAGAAGTCTCTTGGCGCAATCTTTGGGATTTTCTAGATATAAGATCTTACCAGCAAAGAGTGATAGTTTTACCTCCTCTTTCCCCATTTGGATACCCTTAATTTCCTTCTCTTGCCTGATTGCTCTGGCGAGGACTTCCAGCACTAAGTTGAATAGAAGTGGTGACAGTGGGCATCCTTATCTTGTTCAAGTTCTGAGTGGGAATGCTTTCAACTTTTCCCCATTGGGTATGATGTTGACTGTGGGTTTTGTCATATATGGCTTTGTATCCTGCAAAACTAAGTTTCTTATGAGGGGGAAATGAAGACTTTTTCAGACAAACAAATGCTGAGGGAATTTGTCAGACTAGACCTGCCCTGCAGGAAGTGCTCAGATGTGCATTATATATCGATCAGCATAATAGAAACCTACCAGTGTAAAATCACCCAAAAGCTAAAATTCAGAGCCCACATAAAATAATGGCTCAAATTATAAAACAAAGCAATAAGGTTCTGCCCAACAGGATGAACAGAAATGCATCCCACTTACCAATTCTTTTAAGAAAACTGAACAGCTTGAATACCCCACTCAAGAGACATAGGCTGGCTGAATGGATTAAAAAATACTAGGCAAGAATCTGCTGTCTCAAGGAAACACATCTAACTCACAAGGACTCATTCAGACTCAAGGTGAAGGGATGGAAAAAAATATTCTAAGCAAATGGAACTCAAAAGAAAGCAGGTGTAGCCATTCTTATAACAGACAACACAGACTTCAAAAGAACAATAGTAAAGAGACACAAATACGGTCATTGTATAATGGTAAAGGGAGCAATTCATCAAGAAGACACAATAATTCTAAATATTTATGCACCCCACACAAGTGCACCCAAATTCATAAAAAGCAAACCCCACTAAATATAAAAAAAGTGATAAACAGCAACATCATAATTGCTGGGGATTTCAACACCCCAATGACAGAAATGGACAGATCCTCCAAGCAGAAAATACATAAACAAATACTGGACTTAAATGGGACTCTAGAGCAAATGGGCCTAACAGACATTTTGTATAAACATTCTACTTCAAAACAACTGAATATACATTCTACTCATAAGCACATGGGACATTCTCTAAGATTGATCACATCTTATTAGGCCACAAAACATTCTCAACGAATTCAAAAAATTAGAAATCATCCCATGTTTCTTCTCATTTCATAGTGGAATAAAATTAGAAATCAATTCTAACAGAAATACTCAATTCTACACAAAGTCATGGAAATTAAACAACCTACTGCTGAATGATTATTGGGTCAAAGAGAAAATTAAGGCAGAAATCTAAAGATTCCTCAAACTAAATGACAAAGGGTATACAAGTTATCAATCCCACATCTGTGGGATTCAGCAGAAGCAGTTCTAAGAGGAAAATTCATAGGTGTAAATGCCTACATCAAAAAGACAGAAAGATCACAAATCAACAATCTAATGAATCATCTCAAGGAACTAAAAAAGGAAGAGTGAACCAATCCCAAACCCAGCAGAAGAAAAGAAATAACTAAGGTCAGAGCAGAACTAAATGAAATCGGAACAAAAAAAATAATACAGAAGATTAATGAAACAAAGAATTGGTTCTTTGAAAAGACAAACAAAACTGGTATTCCTCTCTCTACATTAACCAGATATAGAAAAGAAGGACCCAAATAAGCTCAATCAGAAATGAAAAAGCAGATATTATAACTGATACCACAGAAATACAAAATATCATCTGTGAATAGTATGCAAATCTCCATGCACGCAAACTCGAAAACATTGAAGAAATGGACAAATTCCTGGAAACACATAACCTCCAAGACTCAATCAGGTAGAAATACAACTCCTAAACAGGCCAATTATGAGAAACAAAATTGAAGCAGCAATAAAAAAAAATCTTCCAACAGAAAAAAAACCCAGACCAGATGGTTTCACAGCCAAATTTTATCAGACCTAAAAAAATTGTTACCCATACTGCAGAAATTATTTCATAACATCAAGAAGGAAGGAATCCTCCCCAACTCATTCTTGATACCACAGCCAGGAAAGGACACAACAAAAAAAGAAAACTATAGAATAATATCCCTTATGAATATAGATGCAAAAATCCTCAATAAAATTCTAGCAAACCAAATTCAGCAGCATATCAAAATAATCCACCACGACCAAGTGGGCTTCATCCTGGAGATGCAAGGATGGCTCAACATATGTAAATCCATAAATGTGATTCACCACATAAACAGAAGCAAAAAACAAAGATCATATGACCATCTTGATAGATGCAGAAAACACATTCAACAAAATTCAGCACCCTCTTATGTTAAAAAACGCTTAACAAGATAGGCAGAGAGAATATACCTCAAAATTATAAAAGCCATATACAACAAACTCATATGACTTCCTTTTTTCTTTACTTCTGCTATAATTGCCATGATATTTTCCATTAAATAAATGAAGCAATTAGAAAATACAAAATCTCTTTTGGAAAGCAGGTGCAGTTAAAGTGTAACAACAAGCTAAAACTGAGGCCTGGGAAGGGGAAGGTATGGCATCTGGACTTTACCCAACTCAGAGATTCAGAAGACCTACCCCACCACCACTTGCAAGCAAAGCTCACAGAGCCACTGAACCCTCCCTTCTCCCTGTGCAGATAGGAAAACTGAGGCCCTGTGAGCAGCTAGGGTCTGGCCTGCCCATGCCTCATTGCCAGCTTGAAAGAGCAGGCATCCACATTTGACTCTGTGGTGACAGGAGGTCAGTTGTGGACTACCATCATTCCAAGGCCCAGTTTCTCCACAGGGATCTAAACTCAAGTGGGCCACTCACCCAAACCTGAAGATCATAAATTCTTAACCCTAAAGATTTGCAAGAGAAGAATGCTACCCTAGATTATATATTCCTTTACTTTTCTGAGAGAAAGTGATGGTGCTAGATGATTTTTAAAGTTCTATTGCAGTTCATTTAGCTGTTGTGTCTGATTTCTTAACCTGCTCCCTCTCAGGTGACTCATGCATTTCTTTCATGTATAAATATGCAATATCACCAAGAATGAAAAGGGTATTATAATCAACCACACAAAGGAAGTTGACAAAAGATAGTTATTAGCAAAGTAAGAGTTTTCACCTCACTGGGGTCAGCAAACTCTAGCCAAGGGGCTAAATCAGGCCCATAGACTGTTTTGGTAAAGAAAGTTTTCCTGAAACACAGCCATATTCATTCATTTACGTATTGTCTTAGGCTGCTTTTATGTTACGATGACAGAGTCCAGTAGTAGACCACATGGCCCACAAAGCCTAAAATATTTCCTAATTGGCCTATTACAGAAAATGTTGGCTGAACCTTGCTTTAAGGGTTTCAGGAAACAATTACAACTGGGAATAACATTCACCTACATTTGATTAGCTTCACCACCTCTAAATGGTTTGAATGAGTCACCAGAGTCCCGTTCACCTGTAAGAAAATGAAAATAGTATATGTCAAATACATTCTATTTAGACAACGGATAAACTGACTTCTGGAATTATCATACATAACATAACCAATCATACTATAACATAATAAACAGGGCTACATTAAAAAATATACACACACACACATATATATATACATATTTGGTTTAATATTCACTTTTATCACTATTCTATAAGGTATTTTCAGCAACAAGATGAACTTAAACGTAAAACAAGGGCTTGACTTAAAAGACATTATAACTTATTCACCAAGACAAATAACAAAACATACCACGAAACAGATTTACAAATCCTTCACAGTGAAAGACCCTTGCAAATAGAAAAGATCCCTTGCTTTTAATTACAAATTCACTTATTTGTCAAAATGATAATAAATCAAAAAAGATGAAAAAATAATATTTCCACAGTAATTCTCAATTTATTTTTAGTTTTTCAAACATGACCTAATCTTTACAAAGAAAATTAATTTTCAGACAAACTAAATGCAGGAAATGTTATTCAAATTCTCCACCTAGCCAAACAAATTAAGGTAAAAATATCAAACGTGAATTCAACATTAATTTTATTTTTTTCCCAATACAAGTAATACTAATTTAGAGTTCAAATACATCAGTGTATAAAACAGAAGTAAAAGTATACTCATCATGGCCCCTGAGATAATCACTGTTAACTATGACGTTGAATGTTGGAGACACTTTTCTAATATACACACACCAGATAAACAGACACATAAACATACACATTGCAACTATCTTTTTTCCTGCAAAAATAAACAAACATTGTATTGTGGATATCTTTCAATATAGGTACACATAACACCTAATTCATTCTTTTTTAAAGCTGCATATGAAATGTAATTTACTTCTTTAGCCCCTAGTTTATGCAGATTTAGATAGGTCACAAGCTCTCAATGTGATAAAGTCAAAACCAATTTCCCTGTACACATATCATTTTATATTTATACATTTATTTCCTTAGATAAGTTTCTAAAAGCAAAATTGCTGGTCAAAGGTTATATGCTTTCTTAAAGGCTTTTGATACATACTGACAAATTTACATCCAAATAGATTTTACCTAATTTACACTCACAACAAACTTATGAGAGTAGCCATTTTGCCATTCCCAAACTATGCCAAACGTGTATTACCTATCTTTAAATTTTCTGACAACCAAATATATTTTCACTTATCATTTTAATTTCTACTTCTTTGTTATCAGTGAGCTTGGACATATCCTCATTAATATGTTATTTATTTCAATTACTTTGAGGAAGAACTGCCTGATAAAATTTCTTTGCCCATTTTTCTATTAAAATATTTTCTTTTCTTAGTAATTTAAAAGTACTCTTTACAATTAAGGATATTATGTTCTGTGATAAGTTTCAAATATTTCTTCCAAATTATTATTTGTAAAATACATTCACGGTATCTTTTCCTATGTAATAATTTGATTTTAAGTGATTAAATTAGTCAATTGTTTCAGGAATAGTTACTGACTAACTAACCTATTCTTTCTACACTGATCAGAATTCAAGGCCTGTTTCTGGACTCTCTATTGTGTTCCACTTGTAAGTCTATATCCAGACTAGAGTTATATACTTTAAATTAATTCATACCATCTTCTCTTATACTACCCATAACCCACTTTCTTCTTTAGCTATTCTTATACCTTTTAAAGTTCATCTGGAGGAATAATAAGATTGACATTCACCACTCCAATTCCATTCATACACAGGTTGAGTATCCCTTATATGAATTTTGGAATACTTGTGTATCTTGGGGATGAGACCAAAGTTTAAACATGAAATTCATTATGTTTCATATGCACTTTACACACATAGGCTGAAGGCAATTTTATGCAATATTTTTCACAATTTTGTGCATGAAACAAAGTTTTTTATTTTTGTTTTTTAAGAATCGAGGTCTCATTATGTTGCCCAGGCTTGAGTAGCAATGACTATTCAGTTGTGATCATAGTACACTACAGCCTCAAACTTCTCAAACTACAGCCTCAAGGGATTCTCCCACCTGAGCCTTTTGAATAGCTGGGACTATACACATGTGCTACTGCATCCAATGAAACAAAGTTTGACTATGACCCATCACGTGAGGTCACATGTGGAATTTTCCATTTGCAGCATCATATCAGCACTAAAAAGTTTCAGATTTTGGAGCATTTCAAATTTCAGATTAGGGATGCGCAACCTGTACTTTGATGAGAATTTCTTGTTAACGGATTAATTTGGAGAGAAATGATCTTTATAACACTGACTTATTCTCCTACTCAAGAACACATATGACTCCTCCATTTTTTCCAGCCTTTTATTATGACCTTCAGTAAAGAGTAATATTAATTTTAAAACAAACGAAATTTTTACAGTCAACAGATCATATGTAATATGCTTTTTATAAAAATCCAAAAATCCTACCATAAATTTCAAAATAGTCCTTTGCTTACCTTGATGATTCGATCACCTGTCTGTACTCCAGCCCGCATGGCTGCTCCATCTGTATGAGAAATTAATTACTTAAAATGTGATTCACTGGAATTTACTAATAATCTTCTTAAAAGAGAGGCAGTGTAATAAAGTGGATAAAAACATGGGCTATAAAGTCAGAGAGATTTAGGTTCAAATTCTGCCTCTGCCACTCAATAACTGCGTGACCTTGGAACGAATTTTATGTTTTGCTCTTTTTTTTTTTTTTTTTTTGCTGTAAGCCTCAATATCACCTATAAAAGGGGGATTAAAAAAAACCTACCTCAAATTACAGCACCCAACTAAAGGAAGTATTCAGTACTTGCTTATAGCAACAGACAGTATTAGTGTCATTTTGGCGAAAGAATTGATATTGTTGAGCCTATATCTATCTCTGTAATCTGTCTTTACCAAAATATCTCTGGTACCATGAAAAAATGAAATTCCAAAAACTTCTGTAAGTGATGACACATAAAGGGTTAGGAGGAGTCATATGATTTTGAAAACTATAAAAAAGACTGTTTTCTTTCTATAAAGTATGAAGAAAATCAATGGGGATAAGTTCATTCTTACAACTATGACATTATAAACAAATCTAGCACAACAGTTCACATGATCTGAAATTATTCTGGGCAAAAGACATTATTTAAACTTTTCTACTCTTACTTTATTTGCTCCTGAATGACAAAACTGTTTTTAAAAATGCCTTGCCTTCTTTGACAGACTGTACGAAGACTGGATTGTCTCCACTGACCGTCAGCCCAAATCCATTGTCATCTTTCTGGATGATTACACAACGCTGAACAAGACCTGCACAAGAACCATAGGGTAAAGAGAGAAGGAAGAGAAAACAGAAAAAGTTATATACTAGTAGTGAACAGCATGTAGTCTTTGAGGAGAAACACAAGGTAGCACATGAATCCCATATGTGAAATAAGAGCACTAACCTCCGTAAACAAAACACACACAAGAACATCAGAGTTACATATACTGGTTTACCACTGAACAGGGAGAGTGGAATTGCTCCAAGATTAAAAACAGCTATGGCAAACGGGAAAAAACGAAGTGTTAGAGATGAAACAGAAGGAAAGCCCATTAACACTTATACTATTTATTCGTAATATAAAATCCTTCTTCACAGCCCTGTGTTCTTGGTGTCCTAATTGGTGTTTACCCCAAGAAAATCAAATGTTTGGGACATTAGGGTAGGAGCGTCCCAAGGGAAATTCTAGAGAAATCCAATCTTATTCTTAGGAAAATAGGAAAACAGACTGCAAAAAGAAAGGAGGTACTTGTAGAGTATCTGTAACTATTCCCCTGAGAGGGAAAGAAAAAGAGAAGAGTTCAGGGACAAGAAAAATCCTGGCTAATAGAAGAAAATAAACAGAAAGGTGAAAAAGTAGAAAAAAGATAAAGGAAGAACCTGTGAGCTCAACCAATTCTTTTATCTTTTTCATACACTTACCTGATTCCTACAAGAGAATTTGTTTTCCTTCTAGTTAAATAGCAAATGAAAACTGCCCAGGCAAGGTGAGAGAAAGAAGACCCCAACCAAAGGAATGAAACGATCTAAAGTAGAATCCTGATTAATACCCAGGACTGTTTTATTATATAACAGCTCAGAAGATCCTGAAACTCTGTGTCAGCCAGAGACTTATCACATACTTTCAGCTTTGCAGAATCTAAGCATTTCACTAAAATGCTACATAAAACATATAACAATGCTTAGGAAATTTTTTTCTAAATAAAT